TCACTCCCCTCCCGTTGGTTGTCCCGATCGAGGAGTCGGCTGACTCTAGTGGCACCGCGGTGCAGTTCTCGCCGCCTAATTCTCCCCCGGTGTCTCCTCCTCCGCCGTCGCTGCAGCAGCCGCCGTCGCAGCTGCAGCCGCAGCTGCCGCGGCATCCGCAATAACAACATCCATCAGTGGGCTCTAGGGGTGCTGGTTTTGGGGGTGCTAGTCCCGGAGTTACTGTTGTCGCTTGTCCTGGCGGCCTCGGGGATGGCACCGGTGCTAGAGAGGGTTCTCCTTTTGGGGTTGCTGAGTGGAGCGTTTCGGAGGTAGCCGTGGTGCAGCTTGAGGTTCTGGTGTTGCCATGGAGCAGTAGCTGCAGCAGTCCCCACCGATGTCCACCCTTCGCCTTCTCGGCCTTCCCTCCCCTGACCAACCACCCGCGCGTTCCCTGCCGCCACCTCCCCTGCATGTCTACGGCCCTGTGTTTCCTCCGCCGGACTCGTCTCCGGCTCGTTTCCCCCCTCGTTCTCCTCCTATGACTCCTTCTGTGTCTCCTCACCCGACACTTGTGTCCCACTTTTGATCGCGTCGTCCGTCTCGTGCTCGTCCTATCTCTCTTGTCCAGTGCTCTCACCCCATGTTGCTTCGTTCCCACGCGTCTCGTCCTCCCCTCCTCCCCTCGCCTCCTCCGTCGTCACTCATTGTCGCTCTGCCTCCTTTGTCTGACTACCTTCGTGCCGCTCGTCCTCTTGTCCTTCGGGTCCTTGCCTCCCTCGTTACCGACCCGTCAGTTCCTGTCTCAAGTCTTGACGGTCTTGTCGTTGCTGTCGCTGACTTCGCTTCTACCCGCCGCCTTGACTACGCCACGGCTCTAGTATTTTCCCCTGCATGCCCTCCGTCCTTTGGGGGTGCTCATGCCCTTGGCAGTGACGTCCTAGAGGACAGGCATTTCGAGCTTGCATTCCTGTCTAAGGCTGCTCCCCATCTCTATTCCAAGCTGCTAGTCCCTGAGGGTGACCCAGATGCCCTTGACATCCTGACCCCTCGCACTTACGCTGAGGCGACCTCGAGACCCTGGGCCTCTCAGTGGATAGCTGCCATAGAGTAGGAGATGGCATCTTAGAGATCCATAGGCACCTTCGTCGATGCAGTTCCCCCACCTGGGGTGAATGTAGTCGATGGCCGGTGGCTCATCAAGGTGAAGCGCCCCCCTGGAGAGCCGCCTGTGTTCAAGGCGCGCTACATGGCTAGAAGCTTCAGTGAGCGCAAGGGTGTGGACTTCTTTCAGACCTTTGCCCCGACCCCGAAAGTGACTACTCTTCGGGCACTGCTACACGTAGCAGCACAACGTGACTACGAGTTACACTCCATCGACTTCTCCACTGCGTTTCTTCACGGCTGTCTATACGAGCAGGTCTACCTGCGCCGTCCACAGGGCTTTACCGGTACCTTCTCTCCTGGGACCGAGTGGCTCCTCCGGCGCCCGGTCTACGGCAGGCGCCCCGTAAGTGGCACGACATGCTGCGTGCTACTCTAGGTGACCTGCAGTTTTTCTCGTCGTCTGTAGACCACTCGCTCTTCATTCGTTCTGGCCAAACCCCGTTCTACATCTTTCTCTACGTAGACGACCTGGTCTTTGCTACTGCAGATAGAGATGCACTGGCCTCTGTGAAGGCTGAGCTGCTGAGGAGACAACCTGCATTGACATAGGAGAGCTGCACCCCTACCTGGACCTGCAGATCTCCAGGGATAGAGCAGCGCACACCATCACTCTCACACAGTCACACTAATTCCTTTAGCGGTTCGGTCTTCGGTTCTCCTCTGCACAGCCCACACCTCTGCCAGTAGACCACAGACTCGCTTCTCCTGTTCTTGAGGAGTCAGTAGAGCCTAGTGGTCCTTACGCAGAGCTGGTGGTTGCCTCATGTACCTGATGAGTTGCACTCGTCCATATCTCGCATACCCTCTCATTATCCTGGCTCGCTTTGTGGTCACAAGGAGACACCGACTACAGCACTGGTCGCCCGATAAAAGGGTTTTGCGTTATCTAGCAAGTACATCGGGCATGGGACTTGTGCTGGGAGGACGCAGACCAGTGGTCCTTACAGGGCACACAGACGCTTCGTGGGCAGACGACGCTGAGATACTCAGGTCCTCCCAGGGCTATTGCTTTAGCCTTGGTTCATGTGCCATCTCGTGGAGGTCCACCCGCTCGTCGTCTGTTTTCCAGCCTAGTTGTGAGGCTGAGATCTACGCTGGTGCCATGGCGGGACAGGAGCTCCGCTGGATGACCTTCTTGCTCACCGACTTAGGTGAGCAGCCTAGCTCTGCCTTGGTCCTGTATGTTGACAACAGGGCCATGATCCTCCTGTATCAAGAGCCTCGACTTGAGGGCAGAGCAAAGCACATCGAGCTGCGGTACTTCCTTCTACACGAGCTACAGCAGTGTCGCCAGGCCCGCGTAGTACACTTGGCCTCTGGTGCCAACACAGCTGATGTCTTTACTAAGGTGCTTGCGCCTAAAGATCATCAGCGATGTTGTTTGCAGCTTGGTCTGGTTCCTATACACTCTCACTTGCTAGGACCTTGATTGTGTAGCTCCACTTTGTGCCGCTCTGGTTTGCCTTGTCGAGTTTGTACTCTTGCTTACTAGTATTCGGACCCTTGTCTCAAAGGCTGGACTAGTAGTGCCGCCCTGAGTTGCTTTTCTCTTGCCAGGGACTGCCCCTTGTCCAGTCTAGGTGGTGTGTCAAATATATTTGTATAATTTATTATGGCCTAGATAGGGGCATGCCTTAGACAGTTCAACACATTTGGTCAAAACTACCGTGTACCTTTCTTTCTAGTTCATTCAGCTACTCTGAGAACAAGAAGGGGGGGGTTGTCCCCTCTACAGTAGTATCCAGTAATAATAATATTGCACACCTACCAAGCCTAACAAATAATATATATATATATATATATATACATATATATGATTTGACTAAGCTCCCCAGAACTACGAGATATTTTATGGATTCCTGAAAATCAGCATTCTGATTGGCTGGCGTAGCATCGTTTTGCAGTAGTAGCAGACATATTCTTCAAAATATTGCAGCAGTAGCGACTCGTCCAAATGTTTTCATTAACCTACATTCCCATTTTTTTTTTGTCTTGTTATCCCAGTTTCATCTCTGTGCTGATCTAAGGGTATTTGGGGCCTTTGTCAAGCTTCTAGTCATGTCAGCCGAGCCCCAACTCCGGGTCTTCAAGCGAGAACTTTGGGTTCACGAGCTGGCAGCTGATACAGTGCTCAGCGGGGTAAGTGCAACCAAGTTAAAAGTTCGTCGAAATGCGCAGCAAATCCTCCTTACATGGTTGCGCTTTGCAGACGAAATTTCACTCGTTTCGTTCGTGTGTTTCTAATCGTGGATGGTACGTATGTCGTGGACCCGAAGCCTCGGGTCTTCCAGCTTCGTATCTTCCGCGTCTAACCCGAATGTTGACACGAATACTGGTTACCTGGGTGATCGCACTTTTGCTGACCGCGATCCCTAACCTACCACTTTCCTTTTTTCCTGTAGAACCCGTTCAAGCTTCTGAATGCGCCAGATCTTGTCGCGCGGGTAACAGTCTCGGGTTCAGTGTTTAGGGTTTAGGGATACAAGCGGCCTAACAAAATTGCACTAATGATCATGTTCTGTACAGGTAGGCCCTGGACCGAAATGTACAGAATGGACGTGTACAGAAGGGATCTGACAAGATCAGATGCACGTCAGCAACTTGAACTGGCTCTACCGGAAAAAAAAAGGGGGTAAGTTAGAGGTCGCGGCCAGCAAAAGTGCGATCACCCAGATAACCAGTGTTTAGACCAACACACAGACGAAACTGGGAGAACTAGACGAAAACTAGGGATGTAGGTTTTTGAAAACATTTATACGAGTAGATGCTAATGTGGCAATTTTCTTCTACTACTACATGTTTTCTTCTATTGGGTTCAATATGTTTTTTCACGTGGCTTGAGCCTGTAAGCGGGAAACCGCTCAAACCCGGGCAAACGGGAGATTGAAGGGGAAAATCAATAGTAAAGACTGTCACTCGGTTACAATATCTCGCTCATGCACTAGTTTGCATGTGCGACTCTGATTCTAGCTATTGTCGAAATACGACTTGACTGTTCGCTTTCGTTCAGACTTCAGCCGATCAGGTTCAGTGTCAATGCAAGTCATGCTGAGAACCTGGTAGGTGGGATTGCAATTTGAACTGTTCCGGGTGAGACAATCAATGAGAACAGGTGTACTGCAAGACGAAGCTACGCAAGCCAATGAGAATGCCAATGAAAATCTCTCCAGAACCACGCTTGCTCGTCCACCGGACCTCCCGGCGGGAGGAACTCTAAGGACGAACAACATCCAGCGCCACGTGGCTCTGTAGTGCTTCTCCATGGGCACGTTAGCATGCTGGGCGGGAGCCCCTGCGCCTGTTTCCTTGAAGAGCATGGACCAGCGCCCCTGACTTTATGCGGTGTAATTCCCGAAAACAAAAAGAACGTTTTAGAAAGAGCTGTTTCTACCCGTGAAACAGAGGCACCTTCGGTAAGTACCCAAACATTCTCTAGAAACTTCTCTTAACCCACATCCGTTCTCGTTTTCGAGTAATGCTGCCACCCTCAACACAATATTGCATGGCGTTACGACCCTACTTTGGGGCTCTTGAAACATAAGAGAGACATAGTAGAAGTCTGCAACGCCGTTGTATTTGGACACTTCACACATAAATATGATTTTTCAGATGATGTCGCTCAGAATAGTTTTTACCCGTTATTTACGAGGTCTTGCTTGAAGTAGTCTCAAATACTTCACGGAACCCGTTCATCGGATCGCCAAAGCAGCGAGGCGCGCATTTCAACAGTGAGACGACTTTTCTCCCCTGGGTTTGAATCTTGCCCCTATGCTTGTGCCTCAGCCCCAACCTCCCCCTCTCGACATGACCAGAACATGCTCTTGGGAGCCTCAAATAGTCTTGCAAGATCGCAGTTCAGGTCACCTCATGGCCAGTTTCCAGTCTATCGCTCGTCGTATTTCCCACATTTCACTAATGGCTCCTGTTCGCACCTCCTTCGTTCCTCGCCTGCCGACTGTCATGATGCTCCTGGCCCTCTTCATATCTCTCCTCGCCCGTACTTCCGTCGCTACCAAGCTGGTCTACACGCTAGGAGGCCAGGGTTGGGCCGATATCGTGGTGGCCAAGGATGGCAGCGGCGACTTCACCACAGTTCAGGTGAGCTCTCTGTATTATTCGTGCCGCATTTAGGAAAGTATGCTATCGCAACACGGTTTCCAGCAAACTCTTTGTTGCACTCGCTCAAATCTGCTACCAGAGCCAAATGGTTGCCACTCCTCGATCTTGGTAGTGCCCGATCAAACTCGCGTCTTTCATGTCGGCTCGTGACACAATGTATACACGCTCCACCCACCCTCGCCATCTCTACACTTGCCTCCGATTAATTCCCTTCCATTTTCTCCAGGCCGCAATTGACGCTGTACGGCCTGGCACGCCGTCCCGCTGGAGTGTGATTTACATACAGGGAGGAGTTTACTGGGAGCGCGTCGTGGTGAGTTCATCCTCTCGCTCTCGCAACCATCCCTTACGACATGCTATAGCCATCCTGGAAACGACTCTCTTCGGCCACAATCTGGGTACTCGCGAAGATTCAGAAATTTGCTTATGACTATCCACCTGCCGTTTCCATACAATCAATGAAGACGACATTGTCATCGGCGAGCGACACTTTTATCAAGGGAAATGGTCGTTCCTGTACGCAAGCGCCGCACTTTTTTCTATGCTCCGCTTCCTCCGCAGATGAACGAGTCGCTGCACCACGTCGTGCTGGTGGGGGCCAACGGCCGCAAGGGAGAACGTGCAAAGATCACGTTCGCTAAAGCCATGCCTTCAGGGGGGGGCTTGGACGAGAGCGCGACGTTTCGTCTGCTGGCGTCCGACGTGGTGGTGTGGAATGTCGTCTTCGAAAATGCCTACGGACCCGGTGATATCGGAGGGTGAGCTGATTGTGTGTGTGTGTGCGCGCGCGCGACAGGAATGGAAAGGAAGGGAACAAGTGTTTTGGTTGTAGCGCGGTTCAGCTAGCTTGCTATCAGCTGTCCATCTTCTTCCCCATCCTCGCCCTCATTGCAAGTCTCCTCTGTCGCTGCCCCCGATGCAATCCAACCGCCATGCGCGCTCGTGGTCGCTGCTGCTCCTCCAGGCGGGCGGAGCAGGCACTGGCCATCCAAGTGGAGGGCACGCGCGTCGCCTTCTTCCAGTGCACGTTCCTCGGATACCAGGTGCGACCAAGCAACGGCAGAAAAGAGCTCCACCGCCGCGAGGACGAGCTGCCAAGGAACATGTCTGCGGTGGACTGCTCGACGCAGGAAGTTTGCGCGTTCTGCAGCTGAATTATCTCGTCCGCTTCTTTTCTCGCGGGCGTATACTCGCACGTGCGCATTCCACACTTTCTGCTCCCAATCTCGCTCCACCTTCGTCCCGTTTTCGTGTAACTTCACTGTCCCTCGGTTTTGCCCTGCTACCGGTACTGACCTTCCCGATCCATGGGCAACCCCTGCGGACCCCACCACAGGATACCCTGTATGCGGCCAACGGTCTGCAGTACTACCGCGGCTGCTGTAAGTTCGCCCTTCCACCATGGACCTTCCCTTGCCCCCCGGCACCCCTACCTCTCCATTCTGCTGCTCTCCTGCCTATCCTATTTTGTCTTCTCCGCACCTCTCTTTCCTCACCCCTCGTCTCTTCGTGCCTCGTGTGCCGCCTGCCCCCTGCCCTCGACCCCCTGGCAGCGATCTTCGGCCGCATGGACTTCGTATTCGGCAACGCCAAGGCGGTGTTCGACCAGTGCCGCTTCCGCCTCGTGTACTGGGGCGGCGCGTACTTCGCGCAGGCCAGGGACCGCGGCGAGGACACCGGCTTCGTCGTCTGGGGCGGCTCGCTCTCCCCGTACGGAAAGGGGCCCATTCGCCCCGGCTTCCTCGCGCGCGCATGGGGGGCGTACTCCACAGTGGTGTTCGTGAAGACGTATTTTGATGTGGGCTCTGTTCGAGAGGAGGGTTGGAGCTATGTGGGTGGTTACAGTAACACACAGAACGTTATTTTTGGCGCATACAAGTGTTTCGGTCCCGGTTACAACTCGAGCGTGTGGGAGCACAACGGCAGGGAGATGAGCGCGGCGGAGGCGGCGCCGTACATGTCGTCGGACTATGTGAACAAGGACAAGTGGATCCCGCTCAACCCGCTCGACCTCATGAAGGGCGCCGGCAGCGGCGCCGTGGGTGGCGTGGGGGCAGCACGCGATTCCAAGTCGCCTGTGGAGTCCATCGGCGCACGCGGACAGAGGCGAGCTCGGGGGAGCGGGGCAGCGGGGGGAGGCAAGAGCGGGGGGTCATCCAGTGGGCAGTCCCCTTCGCCCTCGCCTCGTGGCAGCTCCGGTGGCAAGGGCACGACCCATCGCTCTCCAAAGTCTGGGTCGGGGTCCGGAGCTACACGCGGGACGGAGCAGGGGCGAAGAAACAGCAGCAGCGTAGGTGGCTCTGTGAAGGGCGGGAAAGGAAGCAGCAGCACAAGCAAGAGCAGCAGTGGGCAGGCAAGTGGGAATGGCAGCAAAAGCAGCAGCAAGAGCAGCAGCGGGAGCAGGGGTGGGGGCAGTGGGAGTGCAAGCAATGGATCTTCAAAGAGAAAAGGGGGCAGTGGAAAGGCCGCTGCATCCACGTGAGCAACGCTTTGGTGGACTTTCCACGGAATGCCGGGGGAGAGAACGGAGCATGGCACAGACACATTCTTGGTAGCAAGGGTAATAAAACTATGCGAGTCTGGGATGGGACTCGCAAGTCAGGATGAATCGTATCTCGCTAGGTCATATTTTGGCGCCATGTTCAACCCTCTAAATGAAATGGAACTAGCTTCCTAGTTAATTGTCCTATCCATAGTGCCCAGCGTATATGTATAACTGGCGCAAGGCTGGCTATCAGGGGAGCCCTTGTGCTTGCTGTTGTGGAAGTTGCAGTCGTGGGGAAGCATGATTGGCTGCTTGATGGCACTTGAGTTTCGCAGCCCAGCTCCTCTTGTTGCCCATGACCCCGCTGCTTGGCGAGAGAGGAGCGGACGCGGTGAGAGAACTTGTGGTTTGTGGGTTAATGGATACAATACGAGTGTGAGACAGCAGTAACTAAGTCAACTTGTGAGTGTAAGCTGCAAGGCAATCCACTCAAGCAACAGCTGCAGGTGTGACAGGGAAGCCCTAGGTCCTATGAGTGTATGTGTGTGGGAGATGGCTCTGAGGAGGTCAGTAAGGGGACTCTCAATCCCACTAATACACTCTTCTCTCCTCTCCAACCATGCCTGCCCCTCTCCCTTGCTCCTCTAAATGAAATGTCTTTCCCACCGAGATGCCCGCCCCTCAACCAAACAGCTTTTTGAACAGCTTCTTCACTCTGCCCTTGCTCTCTGGGGCCGTCCCATTCCCCCCGCTCGCTCCATCTTCAGCACTTGGTTCGCCCTCCCCTCCACCGTCACTGCTGCTATCCCCACCACCACTTTCATCCTTCTTGTTCCTACCGAACAGCCCCTTCCTCTTCTTCGTCGACTTCTCTTCCGTCCCACCTGCACTCGACCCCGGCGCTTCCCCACCGCTGCTGCTGCTGCTATCAGGGTTCTCAGAAGCAGGGGGCGGCTGAGTCACTTTCTTCTTGCCTTTTGCACCACTTACTGTGTCAGGAGCACCACTACCAGTGCTGCTTCCTCCATTTCCCTTCTTCTTTGCTGCAGGGGGCGCAGGAGGGCTTGTTGCATCTGCAGGTTGATCCGCCTTCTTCCCTGTCTTTCCAGCTGGAGGAGCAGAGGGGGAAGAGCTATCAGCAGGCGGCTCCTTCTTCCCTTTCTTCCCAGCAGGTGGGGTGGGAGGAGCTGATTCTTCCCCAGAAGCCTTTTGTCCTTTTTTTCCATCACTAGGTGCAGGAGCGGTGGCATTCACAGCAGATTTCTTCCCCTTCTTCCCGGTGGCAGGTGCAGCAGGAGGGGCCGTCACTTCAGCAGGCTGCTCCTTCTTCTTCCCCTTCTTCCCGGTGGCAGGTGCAGCAGGAGGGGCCGTCACTTCAGCAGGCTGCTCCTTCTTCCTCCCCTTCTTCCCCGTGGCAGGTGCAGCAGGAGGGGCCGTCACTTCAGCAGGCTGCTCCTTCTTCTTCCCCGTGGCAGGTGCAGCAGGAGGGGCCGTCACTTCAGCAGGCTGCTCCTTCTTCTTCCCCTTCTTCCCCGTGGCAGGTGCAGCAGGAGGGGCCGTCACTTCAGCAGGCTGCTCCTTCTTCTTCCCCTTCTTCCCCGTGGCAGGTGCAGCAGGAGGGGCCGTCACTTCAGCAGGCTGCTCCTTCTTCTTACCCTTCTTCTCGGTAGCAGGTGCAACAGTGGAGGTTGTCGCTTCAGCAAGCTGCTTCTTCTTTCTCCCCTTCTTGCCAGCGGGTGCTGCAGGAACAGGGCCGCTGCTTTCAGCCGGTTGCTTCTTCTTTTCAGAGAACCCGCCAGTGCTGCTGCCACTTGGCGCAGGATGAGATTCAGCAACTCCCTTCTTGCCCGCTTTGCCCTTTCCACTGCTGCTGCTGCGTCGAGATCCAGAACTGCTGCTATTGCTTGGCTTGCCACTGTCCGCGTTATTAGCAGTGTCCGCGCCTGTCTTCCTGGCGGGCGGCCTCTGGGTGCCACTGGAGGTCTGGGCCGGTGTCACACCGCCCGCAACTTCTTTCTTGTTCTTCCTGTTGCCTTTCTTGGCTGCAGGCGCGGCTCCCCCAACGCCTCGGGTTACTGCAGCAGGATCTGCGATCCAGTTCATTTTGTTGATGTAGTCGTTGCTCAAGTACGGCGTCACCTCCTCCGCGCTCATCTCCCTCCCTATCTCCCATGCACTTGCGTTGTACCCTGGTCCAGAGCAACCGTATGCACCGAAGGTAACCGTATCCATGTCCTTGTAACCGCTCACGTAACTCCATCCTTCTGCACGAACGGATCCCGCGGCGAAATACGTGTTGACGAAGATGACCGTTGAGTAATCGCCCCAGGAGCGCGCGAGGTAGCCAGGCTTGATGGGCCCTTTGCCGTACGGCCGCAGTGAGCCGCCCTTGATGACGAACCCCGTGGTCTGGCCCTTGGCGCGCGCCTGCGCGAAGTACGCGCCGCCCCAGTAGACGAGGCGGAAGTTGCAGTCGTGGAAGACAGCCTTGGCGTTGCCGAACACGAAGTCCATGCGCCCGTGGATGTCTGCGCGCGACAGGCGACAACGCGGATCCGGATGGAAGGTGAGGTATAGTGGGAGTAGGATGGTAGGTTATTGTGCGGGAGTAGAATGACTTTTAACTTCGGAATTCAAGGTCAGCGCACTTACTGCAGCCCTTGTAGTACTGCAAGCCAGTCGCCGCGTAGAGGGTGTCCTGCAACGGAAGAAGCACGGCCAGGGCATGGAGGGAAGGAGTTTGGGGAGTTACTAGTGCCGAGGGCAATCAGACAAGGCCAATGTAAGGCAACGCCACATCCCGTTCGCGAGAACTTGTGATTGGACCCGAGCAAATGATCATTCGTGTCGATGGTACCCGTACGCCCCTGCCGTACACTCACTTGGTAGCCAAGGAACGTGCAGCCGTAGAAGGCCACCCGAGTACCGGCAACCTTGATTGCCAAAGCTTGGTCCTCGTCACTGGATGACACACAAGCGCGCAGCCAGGGCTTCAGGTTTAGACGAGGGTGAACATATGATACAGACAAGAGCGAGACAGGATGCAATCCGAGCTGCTGAGCATTGTCGAGTAGTGTGGGAGTAAGAACAAAAGGTGAGCCGCGAAGGAGTATAACAGCACATGCTCCAGCATTGGAGGTCACCCGATGTCCCGAAACACGCTCATGCGCGCAACAGGACACCTGCGCAATATGAGCTTCCTTTCTTACCCGCCCTGCTCGCCCGATCCGTGCGCGTTTTCGAAGATGATGTTGGAGACCACCACGTCTGACGCCAGCAGGCGGAATGTCGCGCACTCGTCCAGACTCGAGTCGCCCGCCGCGCCCGACGACGTTATCTTCACGCCGCTGCCCGCCCTCTCGCCCACCAGCGCCACGTGGTGTAGCGAAGCCGCCATCTGTTGAGTTATATAGCAGAGCGAGAAGACCAGGAATTATCTTATAGAATTGAAAGAAATCACACGTGTGCGACATGAATGCGGAATCGCAGATGCGATGGACGGCGAGCAGAATGGCATTCACAGGTCGTACCACTGGCTGCTCCTCGTACACGCCAGATTTGATGAGTATGACCGTGAACCGATCCCTCTTGCCGGACCATGTTGCCGCGAGTGCCTCCTGGGTGTAATGCGCATGGATGTCGAGAGAAGATGTCAGACGGCAATCAGCGGATGATGGGAATTACAACAGCTTGCGACTAGAGTAGCGGCCGAAAGCAAGAACTGGTCAGTGGGAGTCTTTGTCCCTGTTGGCGCGGTGAGCAGATCTCAAGTGAAGAAGCACCGTTCCAAAAATAACCTGGCATTCATTCATAGCAAGAACGTACGTTGACAGTAGAAAAGTCGCCGCTTCCATCTTTCGCGACGACGATATCCGCTCCTCCTTTATCTCCCACACTAGCTGACTCCTGTGTTCCCCCCCCCGGTACCGTGAGGAGCACCAGGACGAATGCCGCACCACAAATCTTGCTCCATTCTCCATTCGAAGCTACATAGCAGGATGGCGACTTCGAGAACATGTTGATGGGTGTTTATTTTCCTTTTCTTTTCCGTGACGGTTTGTCGAGCTCGA